CTTTGCCCATAAAGAGTATGTTTAGTGGTACTCAAATGCCTAATATGCTAATGATTAAATTTCCAACTCACAGCATGAAGAATTAGGTGTGAAGATACTATTAATACTAATGAGAAAGCTGTGCTTAATTTCCTGCATTAAGAATGTACATCTTAAAGAATGATGCAAAAGAACTGTTTGACAGTCCCATGCAGTTAAAAGGCTAATTTCACATTTTTCCTTTTATACTCATCAGTATTTTATTCACACACACTTTTAATATTCTTGTTGCCTAAATTGTATATTAATGGATTTTTTTTTTAGTTGCAGTAGCTGAAAGGCATGATTCCAGTAATGAGAGAAAATAAGCAGAATGCTTGATGAAGTGGTGGCTCAGCTACATAACAACAAGCAGACTGTTTTATCAACTTTTTTTTTTTTTTAATGCTTGGTAAAGCTGCCACAGATCGTCATCTCCTGGCCAAGATATAATATTTTATTATATCCAACTAGAACGTCAGGTTCAGATCAACCCAAATGTTGTGAAAGTATAAAATACAGTATGAAGGATAAGCTAACTAAAGAAAAACAAAAAACTGTAAAAATATGATGGCTATAAAATTATTTCACACAATGATTCTATTTCCAATCTTTCCTTCAGGAAGTCCAACCAACCAGCTGATAATACAGAAACTGCTAGGATCAACATTTACCTAGATGGAAGTGATTAATCCTTTTAAAACTAAATTTATGCAGGGTAAGTTTTTGTTAACAAAGCCATCTATACTCAGTGAAAGCAACATCATCATCATCATCAACAACAAAATTAATATTCACAAGCAGTTCATTCTACAAACACTCTACTGATAAAATGGAATCTGACGCATTTTTTTTCTTTCATATGTGAAAATAATTGTTTAAGATCATCTCTGTTCAGAACTGCTAATGAAAATTAGATGTTTTATATGAATAGTACCAGATCTATGGTTAAATCAGTTTGAACTACATTTGTAGTTTCATTTCCCCCTCAAGTCCTACTGTGCTGCCTCATCATTCCTGGGAGGGATGAGCAAAGAATGCTGAGAGTGTTTCCAAAGAGTATATAATCCCAGCAGGGTCACCCAAGGTATGAAGGTCATCTCAGCTGCCCAGCTAAGGCAAGCAGGGACCTAACTTGGGTAGCAGAGATATAGCAACACACTGGAAGCAGATGATCATTTTAGTAACAATGGCAAAGGCATCAATTCATACTGTGTGGGAGAAGACAATGTTAAACCACTCCTGTATTTTTAACCAAGAAAACCAAATAGATAGAAAATATAAATAGATTGATGATACAGTGCTGGGTAATGGAGCCCTCAAATCAAATGGTACTCAATGTGCTGCTGAGGTGAAGCTGAGGATCTTTCAGAGTACTAACTATGTTTATGACATGGCTTGATAAAAGCCTTTGGGATGTCTAGTTTCTGATGTTGCCATGAGGAAAAACAAAAACAAAACCAAGTTAGACAGAATTACAGTGGGAACTAAGAACACAAGAAGATAAACATGGGAATGCTCAACACAGTGAAAGATGAATGACTCAACCATACATTGTCAACTTAGGCATCAGCAAATTTACTACTCAAGACATGAAAAACAAAGAAGGAACAGTGTTTCTTTCATGGTCAGAAAGGATATAGCCAGGACAGTACTTGAATATAATGCAGTCAATGACCAAATAATATCAAATGGATTTTGTGGACAACCTTTTAATATGGAGATCATCCAAGTTTATGATCCAATTACTGTTCTAGAAAAAGAGGATGATGATGATGATGACTTTCATAATCAAGTTCAATCTGATATCCACAGAACATGCAAGCAAGATGTGTGGTTTGTGGTTGTAGGCTGGAATGCCAAAGTTGAAAATACTAAGGAGGAAAACATATACAGGTCCCATAGCATACCCACCCTGCTGGACATATAATCACAGACATTTGGTTCTGCAAATAACTTGGTCCCATTCCATGAAGGGCTTTATAGGTGTCAACCAGCACCTTGAAACCTATTGGGAGCCAGTGAAGTTAATGGAGCAGTAGGAGAACATAGGAACTGAGATGTGGCAAAGCATCCTGGATCAGTTGTAGTTTCTGTGTGAACTTTACTTGGGAGGTGATCAAAGCATGAATGATTGTGAGAAGTGCCTCCCAATCTGAGAAAGGGCACAATTAGCACACAAGATGGATTTGTGCAAAAGTCTTCCTGATCATGGCTGCCACCTGCTCTTCAAACAGGACCTACACATGTCCACTAGGACACCCAAATTCCACACCCATTCTGTCTGGAGCAGTTCTACCCTATAGATAACTAAAGATGGAAATCATCAGTCTATGGGACCCTAATACCCAAAGCTACTTGGTCTTGCTTGTGTTGAGCTGGAGCCTACTCTTCTTCATCCAGATCCCCACAACTTTCAGGCACTGAAAAAGAAATTCAACAGCATCACTAGGCTGGCCGTGACTAGGGATGTATAACTGAGTATCACCGGCATAGTGATGATATTTCACCCATGCTGGTGAATGACCTTACTCAGTGGTTTCATGTAGATGTTAAATTAGAGCTGGCATAGCATAGAGCCCTGAGGGACCCCACAGAAAAGAGTTCTTGGCCTAGGTCTTGCTCTCCCCTTCTCATCAACACCAACTGGAACTAGCCCTGGAGAAAAAAGGAGAACCAGCACATCACCCTGTTCCCCACTCTCAACCCCTTGAACTGGTCTGGAAGGATACCATGATCAATTATATTAAAGGCCACTGAGAGGATGGATGCACCACCCAATCCTTGAGTTCACCCTCAAGGATGATCAGTGCTGCCTTGGTCACATAGCCAACCCTCAAGCCTGACTGAAAATATTTTAGGAAACCTGCTTCCTCTAAAGAAAGGATTTTTTGGAGGCAAAACAAAAATTGTCCCATACAGCTAGGTCCAGCAGAGGTTTCTGGAGAAGACAGTGGATCACCGCCTCCTTCAACCTTATTAATTAATTAATTAATTAATTAATTAATTAATATTTCAAATTTGTTGCCACTCATCTCACCCCCCACTCTCGAGGATGACCCCGATCTCTCAAGGATGAATAAATCAAACAAAGATGGAAGGAATAAACTGAAATTCTATATAATAGAGAGGTCAACATTCAAAAAACCTTGGAAGATATTCTCCACTTACAAGAACCTTTAGTACTAGAAAATGAAGCTACAAGAACACTCAGGTCATTACTAAGTCAGATGGCTTCAGGAACTGCTGAAACGCCCAGAGAAATATGAGAAACAATACAAGAATAATCAGTAAAATTCGACCAAGCTGTGACAGCAAATATGAAGAACAGCGGCCAAGAGATTGGAGGTTATCAGTCTACATACCAGTATCAATGACAGGAAATCACTGTCTGCATTACTGATTATAAAAACGTCTTTGTACTGATCATGCCAAGCTGTGGAATGTGCTTAGGAAAATTGGAACATGTCATTGTCCTTTTGAGAAACCTATACAGAAGGCAGGAAGCTGCAATCTGGATGGAACTTGGTGAAGGAGAGCCGTTCCAGGTTGACAAAGGAGTAACACAATGCTGCATAATCTTCCCTTATTTATTCAACCTATTTGCTTAATATAGAGTGAGGGAGGCTGGACAGGGGGGAAAAAAAGTGATTTTAAAAGTGGAGGAAGATGGAAATTGCTCCAGCATCTGTGTCCTGCAAAGTAGAGGCTTCAATACTGCAAGCCCCAAGTTTCCACTCTAGTATAGATGATGCTGATTGTAACTAGTTGCAGAAACTGGACTACAGAGGATCAATAGCTAACTATTGCTGAGTAGATCACTCCATAGTGCTCTTCCAAACATATTTACACTTGTTCACTTCTCTGCTCTGTGGTCCTCTACATGGTGGCAGTTATAATTTCACAGAGTACATGGACACAATTATTGTTCTATACTCAAGCTGCCAATGTTTTCTGTTCTTCCCCTCCTTGGCCATGACAGTGACATTTTTGCTTCCAAACACTGGGTCAGTTAGCATATTATTAGAAAGTGTCCACCAGCTATTCCCAGTTTTAATTCTAGGAGTAGCAATGGCACTGTTCACTGTGTGGGAAAGTGTCATTAAGATAAAAAAGCTACAGAATTCTGAAATGTGTTGCATATTAACAAAGGTATAAAAATCATTAACAAACATCTCACTGTATGTTGATTTCAAAACTGATCATCTGAAATCTTAAAGTGTGATTACAATAAATAAATAAATAAATGAAAATATATTTATTATTTTTATGTAAAAGATCACGTCCATGAAGCATAGATTGTTAAAACTGGATGCCTTTCAATTAATTGCTCTTCACTTCATCTATTAATTATTCATTATAGCTTATGCGTTTAAAGAGATCTCAGTTTGATATTTGCCTCATGTCCATAGTCACTGAACCTTGGACTGATAAAATACTAACATGAAAAAGTATTTTCCTGAAAGCTCTGAACATACCAAACATTTCTTATTCCTTTAACTTTAGGCATGCTTAACTGTGTTACTTAGGAAAACTAAGGATATAAGAACTGCTGGTTCTCTTTGCCTATTGAACCCACAGTGTACTAGATAAAGTACATTAAGGGGGAAAAAAAACAATAATGCAAAAACAAATCAATTTCCTTCAATTGTCCTTCCATTTTTAATGCTCCAGAATAGAAATGTATGCCTATATTAACTATCTGTGTAAATACCCACCAGAAAACTTTGAAATTGGGTTAGGCACATATCTGTCAGAATGGTTCTGTTTCATTCCAAAATCACTGATAAAAATTCTCCAATTCCTTTTAGGCAATAGAGTCATGAATTAAGCATAATCCCAAGATTATCAATCTTTGACTTCTGAACTTTGCTGTATGCATCTTTCCATTGTGCTTAATTTGTGATTCCTACAAATTACATTCACAGAAGTGCTTTCAAGAGACTCTGATAGTCATAGGAAATATAAAGCATGTGTGGGGAGTTTTATTTTAGCTAGAAGGTTAGCACTCCCCTTGGTAAGGATAGAACAGGCCCTTGTGGCCTATGCAGTACATATATGATTAAGGTGCTTCCACTTATGTTGTGGCATCTAACAAGTTTTTTTTTCTTTTTTTAAATTGTAACGTATTTGATTGTTGTATCGCCCAGTCATTGAGATTCAGGCACCCTACAAGTTTAATCCCCTTCATGGATCACTGCCTTGTCG